GAGGCCCATGGGGTACAGGGGATAAGTTTTTGTGGAGATAGAGGGGTCAGCTGAATTGAACTACCTTTAATGACCATAATATTTATTAATTTATTTCAGGTAAGAAACACAGTCATTAAACAGAAAACAACATCAGGGACCTTGGAGAGCGTCAACAGTCTAGAAGTCGCTGGAGTAATATTGCCAAATTCAGTGAAAGGCCTTTGCGAGGTCTTAAAATGTACACAGAACGGGAGCTACACTGCATCTTTCAATGTGCACGAGCCCACAGCACCTTTCAACCAAGTGCACTCAAATACAGCCAATCACAGTCCTGAGAAATGTCACCTGATTCAGTGTGGATTGAGTGATCACATGATCAGTGAGCTCCACACTGGGAATATGCTGAGCAAAGGTTTCCTAAGAGAGATTGTATGCAAAGATGGAAAATATAACTGGTCTTTATGAGACCACAAATATTCTAAAATTGTATTTTAAATAATAGTACTGTAATCATTTTTCTTTAGAAAATGTTGTGATAGCTAATAATAGATTATAAACAAATAAATGTAATATTGTGTATGAAGTGTTTTTTCTAATTATTAATACAACCTTTTATATAACTTATGTACATTATATTAAATAAGTGAATGTTTTATTTTGTATTTTATTCTTTGGCAAAAGATATATCATTAATATTTGTAACATATGAATGTATATAAATTATTTTTAATTCTGTAATTATATGAAATACTTCAGAACTATTTTTACAACTGCTATGTATAATTTCTGTGACATTACTCTATACTTAGTAAATAAATATGTACTCCCAACTAAAAGAATTAAACTTCTTTAGCTTGTTATTTTTCTTTATGTTTTATTATACATCTCTGAGAGTTGCGGAACATAACAAATTTAATAGCAACATTTGACTTGTATCGCGCTTATCCTGAAATAAATCTTGCACATTACACTGAGCACTCCTGTCCTTTATGGATTTAGTTCTATTTATACAACCAGTTACAAAGTAAAATACATTTATTTAAAATGGTCAAGAACAGCTTAGGCACTATAATAAGTATTTTAAAGAAAAGCGAAAAATTCCTGTACTTGTACATACAGTGCTATAAAAACATGATTGATTTTAAGTAGCAGTTGACAATAGACAATACAGCTGAAATTGATTTTGTTTCAAATCTGTTAAATTGAATCCAATATAAAGCATATTAATTTTGATTTGTTTTATGATAGTATGCAAATAATTTTCAGAAATATAAGAATGCAATCATAAAAATACCTAGCTACAGCCTATTACTAGCATATACAAGGAAACCACAGCACTGTTATTTACAACCAAATGAAACAAATAACATATAGCATTACTTCAAAATTCAAGTTATTTATACTGTACCACAACCATCTTTCAATTTTGTGCACAAAAGTAATTTCCTACAATAAAAAATTTACCAACCCTATTCGCGCTATTCATTCTACAGTATTTCGCTCTGACAAGCAATACTTGTTTCATTTGAACTGAGCATTTTGTAGGCACTGCATATTTGTGTCATGAACGGTGTGGTTAAAAGCATAATTTACAGCTATTGAAGTGTATATCATGTGTTACAAGAAGAGCATAGAAATCAGGTTATCCTTCTCAAACCATTAATGAAACATACACAACTTCAGGCAAACCATTAATGAAACATACACAACTTCAGGCCAGCCTACCCTGGAAAGTGACTACTGTACATGTACAAAAGCTACTTCTGTCCACTAGGTTGCTCCATACCTGACACACCCTATCCCCTCCCCCTGACACACCCTATCCCCTCCCCCTTTCTCTCCTAGGGCTAACCCTCACCATGTACATAATCCATTGGTATAAGCCCCATCTTCTGTAGAGCAACTGTGGCTGCCTGTGCTTTGGCATGTTTCTTGTTTCCACTTGCTGTTGTTGGTTGGTATGCCTCCTTGTTTATAATAACCTAAAGAAGAGTAACAATATTCTTATTCAATGTTCCAATTGTAGACAAAACAATCAAATCATATATACAGTATTCATTTCATTTTGAGCATATTTCCACTTTTCAAATCTTTATTTAAATTGGTTGAGTGTAGTTGCTTCAATCACTGATGTCGGATGTCGCTCAATGTGTGGACTAACTTGTACAGTAACTTCCTTATTCCCTAAGGATCACTTCGTGGTGAGCTACCAAGAAAACTTCAATCCATTACTGTGTTCCATTAGTCATCCTTTTTAATACACTTGGTCATCATTGAAACATACTAATTGACATTGTATCAGATGACATCACCACAAATGGTGATTTTTACAGAGATCTTAAGCAGACACACTACCAGCATTACTTACATTAATGTCACTATTGAGTATTTACGTTTATAATTTGCATATGCCGCCATATGAATAGGAATAATGAAATGGCTTTTTATTGTGGTTTTTTTCGTGTTACCCTCAAGTGCCATAAGTTAATTCTGACCTTAAAAACAAAGTTCTTCTGGTGAGATGGTCCGCTATCATGGATAAGTTCAAACAAAGGTGGCGGCCATTTGCGCTTGTTGCATATTTCCATTAAAGCCGAGACAGGATGCTTGCTGGTCAGGTCATGTGTCACAACTCTAGGAATAACGGGTTTTCCTCTATTGCTTTCAGTGGATGATACCAACCCTAATGATAACAAAAAATACAAGACCAATAAATAAAGTCTTATTTTTAGTGGTGTCCGACTGGGGGTAAATTTGGCAGTACGCCCCGAGACAATACAACCGTGAATATTTCTTCCAAAAGATGCTGCACATACAAGCATTTCACCTTCATAGCTAAAACACAAGGACAGAAGCGATAGAAATTGAACCATGCACCAAAGTTGTGTGAACGCACACACAGTGGACTAGATTAGATAATTGAACTATGTTTCTCTCTTTGGGTGCTACTCTACTATTGCAACAGGGATCTTGTTTTTTTTTTCCTTTATAACATTTAAATTATTTATGATTGAATTATTTCCATATTGTATCATCAAATTGTGTTGTAACCAGGTAACAAAGTTGTGTTGTGTAAACGCACTTAAAGTGGACTACACTTAAAGTGGACTACATTAGATGACTGAACTGTGTTTCTCTCTTTGGGTGCTACTCTACTTTTGCAACAGGGATCTTGTTTTTTTTTCTTTATAACATTTAAATTATTTATGATTGAATTATTTCCATATAGTATCATCGAATTGTGTAGTAAAATAGTATACTAGTAATACTATATATTTTAAGTTGAACATTATGTTAGAATTAAGGGGATAAAGATTTTATAGTGCTATGGTATGGTACAATTGAATGGTATTGCATGGTATAATAATAGTATACATTCAATGCATTATAATATTTACAAAGCACAGCACTGTATATTATTCAATCCCTGTAATTGGAAAAATACAATCTGAAAAATTTACCTTTTCTGTCAGATTTAATTTCCAATAAAAGGGGTTCCCTGGCACCCTCCTTGTTCTTTCCCAATCCCTCTCCTTGTCGCCATCCCATCCTTTGTAACATCATCATCCCGATGCCGCTACTAACTGGTGCAGACTTAAGAAACATGTCCTGTGTAAAGAAATCAGTCGGTCTTCTAAAATATGCTTCATCAAAATGTAACACAAATATCTACACAAAACAACTTCTTGACGATGGTGAGAAAATTAAACACTGCAGACTTACTATTTGGCCATTGCAATTTGATAACTACAACACTGTTAAACAAAACTATGTGCATAGTGGTGGAGCCCAGCTTACAGTGCCAACCATAATTTTTTAGAGGAGGGGTAGGGTTGAAATTTCTGACCTTTTAACCAAAGGAGAGGGAAATAAGATAATAAAAAATAAATCAAAAAAGTTTTTTAATCAAAGAACAATCACCCCTTATGAGAAGGAATCTCCACCACTGGGCATGATCACATGTTCTGTATGATTCTACACAATAATAACACAATATATTTTATTATTATTATTAGTATCATTAACATGCCATATGTTTCTTCTATTGGAATAATAATCACATTATTATTTATTATTATATTACTTAATTTGATAGTATTATTAATGTAATATTTAAGTTTACAGCATGTATGCCTATATATTATTAATATCTGTAATGTTATATTAATGACATGAAATAATATGTGTGAAACATGTATAGTAATAGTTGAAAAATAAGCTACATCATTGTTACTATGTAGAATTGTCAAGAATAATTTTGGGTTGGATACTACTGTACTATATAGAAGTGTAAAAAAAATATATATTTAAACAGAGGTGAGAGAAATGTTTAAAAAGGGGAATAGTTGTGACTAGTATTTGATGACTATTTACCATCAGGTGACCTGATGATCCGATGATCACATGACAGCACGGATACATGGATGCTCTTTCTAGAAACATCCATGATTTATATTAGCATCCATTTTCTTGCATGCCTTATGAGGTATTTACAGCCATACCACTTCAGACAGCTATACAATGGATAATATTTCTTGCGCAAGATGCATCACTATGGAATTATTTTAAATATAAATATCTCCATGGTGACAAAACATCCCACAATGGCAATCAAGGGACGTCTGGTGACAGCAGCTTCCCATACCTACCAACCAACGCTGATCAAGCTCCGTGGGGTGTGCAACATCTTCGAGGTAAATCGTGTTTGCTATGATGAAATTCCTGTATTAAATAAGGTTGCCAATGTTTGTCAGAGTGCCCCGGATCAACCCGTCAGTGGAATGGTTGGGTCCATTGTGGAAGAAACCATTCCAATCACAGGTTGATCACAGAATAAATGTAATGAGAAGGTTAGAATTTTGTCAGATTTTTCCTTTTTTCATCTGACTTTCCAGCCAATAACAATGATAACACCTTTACATTACATTTGAAATAGACAGGGGTCTATACCTCTGATATATTTTGCATATGAAAAATCTGCTCATATACACACATGAGCACATTACTCATATGCATGGCTGAACTGCTCATGTAAGCATATTATGTACAATTTTTGAATGAGCATGTACAGTGCTATACGAGCATTGTTGCATAGCATTACAAGTTTGTTGCTCATTTTACAATGCACACATGACCGACATGAGCATTATTAGGGACATATGGAGTTGCTCAATGCTCATATTAACATCATAATAGGGTTGTATTAGCCACTTGATCACACAAGCACATTATTCATAATGTCCACATGAGCATATTGATTATACCCCCACCCCCAAGTACATTTTTGCATATTGCTCAAATAAAATATATGACCATGATTGGACAGTAAGTAAAAAAGTTCTAACATCTGTAGTAGAAGTACTTTTTTATTCGAAAACAAATTCTATCTTTTTGTGACAATAAATAATGTATAGAGTACTGTAGAATATAGATACTCACAACTGGATGCATGCAACAACTGTGATATATACAGTAGTCTAAAAAATATACAAACCTTATACCTTCAAAAATATATATTTTAAAATCAATCAATAATCCATCAATAATGGAAGGATCCATCTGGGTGTCTGGTTGAATGTGTGTCAGGTTGTTGGTGTATGTTTGCTTCTCTTTGTAATTATAAATTGACATATGCTAGATATGGTGTTACACTTGCCACACTTAAGCAAAGGTCTTATTTACTGTAAAGGATTGAATAACTTTATAATTTTCAGTGCACATAATTTTACAGAGAAATATATATTTAGGAGGGTACTTATTCCAGAATATTGTAGATACCGTAAATGCTTGAATAAGCGCCGATCTCGAATAAGCGCCACCAACCCTGATTTTTTTAGCTAAGTGCAGCGCTTAAACAATAGTATATTTTACCCTTTGTTCAATGAAACACTTTGAGAAACGGGGATTTAAATAAATTTATAGTGTTAAAATGAATACATAAAACACAATAAAGACACAAGCATTTCTTTATAAATGTTTAATTATGATGACGTAGCACCTATGATAGGCCTACTGAACTATGGGAATACGTGATATGGATAACATTGGAACGGGCATGGAAAGTGCCACGCCAATACATTTTTATGGACGCCGCTTTTGAATAATAAGCGCCGCGCAGAAGTTTCCAAAAATTGTATAAGCGCTGTGGCACTTATTCAAGCATTCGGTACTCATGCTACCCTATAATTCTGCCAGTCTCGAGTTGGGGCATATTGGGTTATCTTTTAATGTTAATACACACTTTCAATTAAACATCATGACGTTTATTTGAAACACCTAATATAAGTGGCGTGGTGCCAAGTCCAGCACCTAGCTAGTCACATTTGGTGCAGCGCTTTTAAGAGCAGCATTTATTCATTCATTTACGGTATAAATATTAGCACCATAGCATTTATACTTTGAATTTACCAGAGTAAGAATTAAAATAAAATTACCAGTCAAAATTTTGAACCAAAAATTAGAAAAAAATATGTATCTTTTTTATGAAAGGAAACCTTTAACAATTCTCTGTGATATAATAAATTCTTAAGTTTTTTTAATCTAAATAATACAAGATGTAAAATTACCTTTTTAGCCCAGGCCTGAGCCCTGGGATTTGAGTTTGCTAGTTCTTTGGGATTCAGAATCTGGACTCCGGTACTCCCGGTAAACTGGCCTGGTTTGTTGCTCACATTGGCCCAGCTCTGGATCTGAATAAATTTAAAGAAAATTAAATGTAAGAGAGATGGCTTATTCTAATTGTTGCCAACACTTGTTGTTCCAGTAACAGTAGTCATCATCATTCTGATTCAACATTCAAAGACGAAGACTAGCATGTGATCGCAAGTTAGTAAATAGTATCCTTTTCAAATAAATACTTTAACAGCTATAACACTGGGGTAATTCCATAGAGATATAATAAGAATACTAGAGCGCTAACCGCAATGTATTCGATGTTCGAAATACGCAGAGCTGTGTGTGTGTACCATCCAAGATGGCTGCCTTATATTCAGCCAATCAAATTTCGCCTGAGCACTATCATTTTCAATGGCGCCCTCAATTTACACAGAAAGTTCAGTACAGCTATGTTTGAAACTCGAGCGTTGCGGTGTTTGGGTGTAATGCACACGATTTTAATTTTCATTCCTTGGTACTTGTTTTTTTAATAAGATGCTCCACTTGGCCTCGTTTTCGCTACGACAGTTTAATAATTTGTCATCAATACTAATTATCATTAATGAAATAATATTCAGTCAGAGGGCTTATTTATGGTAATAATATGCATACTAAGCCTGAAGGTGGCGCTTTCTTACGGCAGCCATCTTGGATGGTACACATACACAACTCTGCATTGTTCCGCCATCTTGTCAGCACTCTAGTTGTTTAATAGCTCTTATGGGTAATTCTTATACCTTGTGAATATTCACAAATGAAATAAACTGACTTTCTTTACATCAATTATTTTAGTTCTTAATTCAAACTTTGCTGAGGAAGTGATAATTATTAATATAAATATTTTAACAAAAAATTAAATACTGAATACTGAAAACTTTACATAAAATAATACAATTAACTGGATATGATTGTAAAAAAATATATTAAACATAAATACTTGCCCCTCGTTGAGCCTTGTGTAGTTGACCAAGAGCTTCAACATCAAGAGGGTTGGATTCAAGGGCTCTTGCAGCCTTTAGTCTTGCAGATACCATTGTTGCTATGTCAACAGCCTACAAAGACCAAAATACCTTGTTATGAAGAGCCAGAGAGGTCAAAATAAAATGTGCCTTTATAAGTCTATCAATATTATTACCAGATAATATACTTGTTTTCTAGAGCTCTAATTCGTGTCTTTTTTGCTTTGGACCTTTCACACAGACACAATAGTGAGTTTTATTATTTACAATATTTATTTTAATAGGATTTATATAGTGCACATATCCAGAAAACTGCTAAAAGGCACTTTTCCCTGGTCACTGGTTACAGAAGTCCTTATCTGCTGAGTCTGACCTGGGAACATCCTAGGCCAGAGCCAGCAATGTTGGTGTGAGTGAAAGTCTATATAGAACCAGTATGTGACACCATCCTGGACTTAAATAAAACAAATGTGAACACAGCGATTTAACCTAAGTAACATTTAAGTGTAAAATCTACCGGCGCGGACGGCGTTTCCTCAAAAACTCTATCATTTGGATGCACAGAAGGAACCGGAGCAGGTAATGTGGCAGGAGTTGGTGTCACCGTTTGGACCACTGGTGTCATTAAGGCGTTAGTAGCTTGACCGAGAACAGGGGTGCATAATTCTGGATTCGCTGGGAAGGATATTTGCCCCCCTGCAGCCATTGTGGGCATCTTGGTGGATGAGGTGGTTGTGGTTACATTAGTGGTTGTATTGGTGGATGCAGCAGGAGTTGCAACAGTGCTTGTGTCACTAGTAGTCGTTGTGGTTGAGGGTGCTGCAGCTGTTTGTGCAGTTGGCTTTTGGTAAGGTACCCAAGCACCATATGGTGAGACCTCTTCCTCCTTCTTGCGATGCTGTGAACCACTGGAGACTGGAAACTGTATCCGCAGTTTATCTTTGTCCATATTTGGTCTTTGTACAGCATTCTGAAATCAAATCAAATATTATTATTAAATAATTATCATTAAATAACAGGATACATTACTATTAATACTGATGTATTGCTTATCCTTTACCTTAATATTGACCACAATACTCTGTGGCTGTGGCCGGAGTTTGAATGGATGATTAATGAATGTTTCCGAGTCCTCGTCGGAATCTATTGGTTTGTTGACGGGTGATTCGTCCCCAGAGTCAAGTCCCTCTCCTTTCTTCTGGATTGCCTGGCATACTGCTGTTAATTCAGTAATTGTTTGGCCACCTGTGATAAATCAATATCAATATTATTGTAACCTTTTCTTTTTTTATTGTAATATGTTCATGAATAAAGAATTTGAACTTAAATTACGTAAAATATGTTAAAGTTGAATCAGCATTTTGGAATTAACAATTTGGCTTGACACAAAAAAAATACAGTTTGCTGTCTGTCTATCATAATAATACTAAAGTACTGTAGTTATAGTATGAACTGGATTACATACCTGCTCTTTGACTAGCTTTATCTTCAACAGTTAAAGGTGGCAATTTTAAACTGGCTGGCAACAATCCTGCTTTCATCTGTGCATATGCATTCGCTTTGGCAATTTCTAATAGTTTAGCTTTGTCTATACGATCTGCCACAGAACGCTCCGGTTTGTGATCGCTGTACATTCTGCTTGTTTTTGTCTTGGATTTCCTCTCTCGTGATTGTGACCTCCTGCCTCGAGATCGTGACCTCCTGCCTCGAGATCGTGACCTCCTGTCACGAGATCTTGACCTCCTCTCTCGTGATTTGGACCTCCTTTCTCGTGATTTGGACCTCCTGTCTCGTGATTTGGACCTCCTGTCTCGTGATTTGGACCTCCTACCTCGTGATCGCGACCTCCTCTCTCGTGACTTTGACCTTGAACGATGCCTATACCTGTCTGTCGTATGGGACCTACGGGAAGGAGAACGTGAACTCGATTTTCTGTGTCTTCTGCTTCTTGTTCGTGATCGGGAACGAGATCGTCGACTGTCCTTACGTTTTCTTTCTTCGTCTCTGCACCTTTTCTTAGATTTATCTGTCAGCTCTCCATCACTTGCTTCATTTTTATCTCTCTTGCGTTTCTTGGCTTTTGAATACGACAAATCTTTATCTCTTCCACCATCTTCTATCTCCTTTTGTTGTTTTTTGTCTTTTGTTATGTTAATGCTTGTTTTTTTAGTTTCTTCTATGGTGTTTTTCACAGATTTATCAATATCTGTTTTTTGAACAGTACTTTTATTAACATCGCTAACAGGTTTATCTTTCAAAGTATTCTCAATAGATGCATCCTTTTTTTCTGTTATTCCCTGGGATACTTTCTCCTGGCTTTCAATCTTAAGGTCTTTATTAAGTAATTCTGGTAAAATTTTGCCTACCGATTTTTTGTCAGTTTTACCCATTTCTTTGATTTCACCTTCATTTAATGAACAATTTTTTATAATATCTTCGTCTGAAGTCCTTTTGTTTTTGTTCTCATCTGCTTGAGCTTTGGTGTTAAGATTTTCCAATTGTGTTTCTAAAAATTCATTTAAATCTATCACTTCATTTTCAATGTTGATTTCTTTTGACGTTGAGCAACTTCTTTCATCAAATTCTTTCTGTTTCATATTATCATCAGCATCTTTCTTTTTATACTTCCCATCCAAAAGCCTTTGTTTATCAAATACATCATTATCTTCATTTCTAACGCTCCTCTTTTCATTTGCACATTTGTCTTCTCTCTCTTTAGTTTTTTCTTTTGATTTATTCTTGGACTTTTTGTGTTTACTTTTCTTGTGTTTATGTTTGTGTTTCTTTTTCTTTTTACTGTCCCTTTTGATATCTTCTTCTTCAAGCTTATCTGATTTTTTATCTGCGATGCCTGAACCTATTTGCATATCTACATCACTATAACTAGAAGCAGTTAGTTCTCCATCTTCAGGCAGTTCACGCCAAGGTAGTAACCTTTGAACTTCTGACTTTTCTTCTTCTGATGATGACGATGTGGAGACATCTTCATTATCATCTTCATCTAAGGTGTTTGTTTTCTTTGTATTTGGTTCTGATAGGTCTTTACTGAATATCTTTATCTGTATGGGTTTCTTTTCCTGAATCTTTCCTTTTCCATTATCATCAGCTGTGTCTACATGCTTCTCAGTATCTACATAAATAGATTCTGTTTTCTTCAAGTGGTTGTGGTCGATTTGTTTAATCCTATTTACTTCCTTCATTTCTTTTGCAATCCTACTTTGAATGATAGCACTGAACATTGTTTTCCTTTCATTTGTATCTACATCATCTCTATATTGAAGGCCCTCTTTCTTGTCCCATTCTCTAATGTTATCTGTAGATTCACTGTGATTCTCCTTTACTGTACCAATACTACCAGTATTCTTGGTTGCTGTTTCATCCCCACTGTTACTTTTATTGGGATTCCTGTAAAATCAAAGTCAATTGGAATTTAATTCACAATCACCATTTATCAATATATTCAACAACACCAATTATAAACTGGCTATTGCTGTACTGCAATAAAAATTTGAGTTAAATTGTTATTAATTTCCCTTACCCATTCAACCTCATGCAACACATTTTTTGTTAATAGATTAACCCATTAGATTTGAAATGGAGTGAAATAAACAGATGGAAAACTTGAACATGTTTGCATAGCCTCATCGCGTGAACACGGGCCTAGCCCTAGACTGGAGAGTCATACCCCTGTACAATGTTCTTCTGACTCACAGGCCATCATAGTCAAAAGAAACATCTACAATTCAGCAATTTAAGTTTATTCATGGTCCAATAGTTTAAATATTTCATACAGAAATTGCAACAAAATGATTTGGTGACAGTATTTTAGCTAAATGTGTACCTCCAAATCAACAGCGATGTGGTAAGTCCCGCAAGTGATTAGCCTAGGTCCCCTAGAAGGCCTCTCAAAACTATTCGTATTTTTAGTCTGAATGGAAATGTAAGTCAAATCAACCTTAGTCTCATGAATCTATGAATCATTCAAAATGTATACATTGTTACAGTATATAAAAAGTATCTTCTATGCTAACCTACATTTTAGACGATTTAATATACACCACTTTCGATTGCGCTCAATGCTCTAGCATAGATCTTTCGGCTTTGTGTACAAATTTATACCCACTCGGCGAAATTGTGATGGCGTCATCTTTGGTGACTAATTCGGTCAATTGAAAATGATTCTCATACTGACTTTCCAGGTGTATATTATTTGAGTGGGTGATAGATGATTGGGCCAACAAGATCGGGCCCAAGACAATTGGGCCCATCTCTAGACGATCGGGCCCATGCCACAACAATCTCTGACCCAACTTGTGTTCAAGTTCTAAAATGAGTGATAGATGATTACTGGAGTGAGAATATGAGTGAGAATTTGCAGGGACAGAATAAAACAAAAATCAAAATGATTTATAAAGATTAAAAAAAACATCTACTCCAGGTTTAAGCAAAGGAAACCTGCTCTCTATACGACCAGCTTGGTACTTCTATTCTAGAATTCGATCCAACTCGGCCACAAGTCAACTCGTGTATTGTTCATATTATTTGATGTATATCATTATATTTCATGTATCACTGCACGCCTCTCATACCATAGGCATAATTGTGTCGGAGTTCAAGTAACACAAACACACATCATACGCCTCCTCGTACGCCGCCCCGAGGCGTATATTTTTTATAACCTTGTTGTCATCACGCAATAACACATTTTGACAGTAGTTTTGGTCTGTCTCTTATACACATCTAATCACGTCATTGGATGCATCCTTGTCACCGACGGGTTTCAAACATATCCCCCAATGGTCGAACAAATATGAAGGACTGAAGTCTGTCACTCAACAATACCAATTGTTCCTATTGTGGATAATTGATATCAGATGCTGCACCCCACCTTATTTTAACGTAGGCCTAATTCTTGGGCGTGGTTCTGAAGAAAATAGTATTGAAATGCACGCCATCGTGCATTCATTTGATTTTAGTCGGATTCAAAATAAATTTTTAACATTTAAAAAAATCAT